TTTCCAGGATCACGCCCTGGGCCGAAGGCGGCGCTACACCGCTGAGCCATCTGGGCTGCCCGAAATCCTACTATTTATAATGAACATTGGTATCTACTCAAAGTAGTTAATATGTGCCAAGCACTTAAAACATAATTGATGTGCTTCTACTAGAATATAACATACCTAGGTTAAGTAATAATGTTCTTAGAAAATCAAAATACCAGGTGCCTGGGTGGCTCAGTTGGCCTTGGGCTCAGGTCACGATCCCAAGGTACTGGGATAGAGCAGCTGGCTCCCTGTTCAGTGGGAAGTCTGCTCCTCCCTCTCTCTCTGCCCCTCCCCTCTGCTCATGCACTCACTCTATCTCAAATAATAAATAAATTCTTTAAAAAAAATCAAAATACTGGCCTAACAAATTAAAATACAAGTCAAGATGCCACTGACATTTTACTTTAAAAATTCACGGGCAGCCCGGGTGGCTCAGCGGTTTAGCACTGCCTTCAGCCCAGGGCGGATCCTGGAGACCCAAGATTGAGTCCCATGTAGGGCTCCCTGCATGGAGCCTGCTACTCCCTCTGCCTGTCCCTCTCTCTGTGTCTTTCATGAATAAATAAATAAAATCTTTAAAATAAATAAATAAAATACTTTAAAAATGCATTTACTTTCTTTTTAAAGATTTATTCGTGTGTGTGAGAGAGATCAATGTTACACAATTGTACGGGAAGAAGGGAGGGTCAGAAGAGTAGTAACTCCTCCCAGAGTGCAGAGCTGGAGGTGGGGCTCCATCTCTCTCCACACCCTAGATCTCCACCCGGAAGATCACGACCTGAGCCAAAGCCATGAGGTGGAGCCTAACCAAGAGTAGGAGCCTAACCTACAGAGCCACTCAGGCACTCCGAGAATTCATTTACTTTTAAGCTTATCTTAAAAGCTTACCTTGACTTTTCTAAAAGCTAAATGGACCCAAAGACTTAAACTAAAACTTTTAGAGACTGGAGACTATGCTTTGGCTATGCCTATCTCTTGGGTTTTATCTTCACAGATTTTGGAAAGTTTAGTTGCCAAGACCTAACTTGGGATAGTTATAAAGACAATCAAGTAGCCAAATTACAGCAGCAAATGCTTTTCATAAATCATCTTGGGCAGCCCCGGGTGTGATCCTGGAGATCCGGGATGGAGCCTGCTTCTCCCTCTACCTGTGTCACTGCCCGTGTCTCTGCCCCGCACCCCCCTCTCTGTCTCAATAAATAAGTAAAATCTTAAAAAAAAAAAAATCATCTCATGTCTTACAGTAATTTCAAGTTTGTAAACATTTTAACAAATACATTTGAAATTTAAAGCTACTAGTTAATAAATTTAAATAGTTCTAATAAAACATCTGTTTGTTTCTCCTTCAAACCACTAATAAATTTATACCAAAGTTCAGGATTGCGGACAGACTTAATGGTATTAGCCTATCATTGTTCAAGTATTAACATTTCAAACTGTAATATTAAAAAAAAAACACCTCCAAATTGTTTTTGTAGGTATAGACATGATAATGAAAAAGTAGGAAAAAGTACCATGATAAAGCTAAAGGAAGAGAAAGTTTTAAAACACTATTAACAATATTAAAATATGGGGATCCCTGGGTGGCTCAGCGGTTTAGCGCCTGCCTTTGGCCCAGGGCATGATCCTGCAATCCCGGGATCAAGTCCCACATCGGACTCCCTGCATAGAGCCTGCTCCTCTCTCTGCCTGTGTCTCTGCCTCTCTCTCTCTCTCTCTGTCTGTCATGAATGAATAAAAAAATAAATAAAAAAAATAAAAATAAAACAATATTAAAATATTAAAGTCCACTGAAAAGGGAATTAAAAGTAGGCCAACAGATTTGGCAATTTGAGCAATTCCAGAAAAGTAATGGAAGAGGAAGGCAGAATATAACCTCACAAGAGTCAATAAAGGTAAGGAAGTATATATAGTCTGTTGAGTATAAGCTATTATTTCAGGAACTCTAGAAATAAATAGAAGAAAGGCTTAGTGGCAGGGTACAGTGAAGTTTTGGTTTTTTTGGATACTGACAACTTAAACATTCTTATAAGCAGAGAAAGAGATCAGTGCAGATGAACTAGGTTTTAAGAGAGGATGGGATCAGAGAATAAGTGGGAGAATTAGCCATGGAGAAGAGAAAAATCATGTCATTTCAGAGAAAGTTCAGAGTTGTCAGAAGAAAGTGCCCTATTCCGTTTCTATTCTCATGTTTTAAAAGGGCCATTTGCAAACTTACCAGCAAGTATCCTGCCCCTATCTATAAGAAAATTCTGACTTTTCCATTAAATAAATGGTAAGACAGTAACATTCCATTTATTTCTGGAGGGATAAAATAGCTTATGTCTCCTTGTCCACTTTTATTGGCTGCTATGCATTACTGAATGGATAGAGTAGCTATTATCAACCCAAATACCTTTGACTGTATTTAAAATAAACATTACACAACACTTTATTCCTGTACATTAAGAAATAATACACTTAACATTTGTTGCAAAAGTAAATGTCTAAAATAAAAGTAAAATTAAAAAATGTTTAAAGAGGGGATCCCTGGGTGGCGCAGCGGTTTGGCGCCTGCCTTTGGCCCGGGGTGCGATCCTGGAGACCTGGGATCGAATCCCACATCGGGCTCCCGGTGCATGGAGCCTGCTTCTCCCTCTGCCTGTGTCTCTGCCTCTCTCTCTCTCTCTCTCTCTGTGTGCGACTATCATAAATAAATAAAAATTTTAAAAAAATGTTTAAAGACTTTTATTTATTTATTCTGAGAGAGAGCATGTGAGTGAGGGAAGGAATAGAGGGAAAGGGACAAGCAGACTCTGTACTGAGCACAGAGCCTGACAAAGGGCTCGATCCCAGGACCCTCATATTATGACCTAATCTAAAACCAAAAGTCAGACACTTAACAGACTGAGCCACACAGGCACCCCAAGACTAAAATAAAACTTTAATGAAAAAACATTAAGCACTGAACACTAGTATTTGATAATGGAGACATCACAGAAATAAGCACCCCACAAATTATCCCCTTAAGAGTTTGCCATTTAATTGGGAAGATGAAACACATACTTGAAATAATAAATTTTCAAACAACATATTTTCAAGTTCAAATAAAAATATACAGGACCCATGAGATGATTAAATTATCAGAAACCAAGGAGAGGTTACTGAATCAAACTTAAGTTTTTCACTTACTACAAAGGTTTGTAGTACTCACAGAGGTATGATGTAGCTTATTTGTGGTTGGTAAAACCGTATTTCATGTCCAGCAATTTTTCAGCATGGATTTCTAGCACGGATATATAATTTATGGCATCTAATGCTTAAGAAAAGATATTTGGTATTTAAATTTACTGCAACTTCCTTTAAGAATCGTACTAGAGCAATATCATAGCCTATATTTTGCAGGTAAATTTGCAGTACCTACATAATACCTCAGCTCACTTCTGACATTTACGAAAGTATAAAAAACAGCTTTGGAAGGGTCAAGTCCCAAAAATCGACCTTTTTTTTTTTTAAGATTTTATTTATACAGAGAGTGAAAAAGTACAAGGGAGAGAGAATATCTCAAACAGACTCTGCACTCAGTTTGGAACTCAATACAAAGCTTGATCTTATGACCCTGAGGTCATGACCTCACTTAACCAACCGAGCCACCCAAGTGCCCCAAGGCTTAGGCCTCTTCAGAGTACCGATTAAACAGATCTTACAAAAATGAAGAATCATAAAGAAATAGGCTGATAGTAAAGGAACACGAGAAATAGTCAACACTAACAGAAGTAAAAAGAGCTGAAGTCTACACAAGGATGCAAAACAGAATCACAAAATGATTCCAACTTTCTAAAAGGAAAAGGTGTATCAGTAAAAGACATGGTAGATCTACTTAAGGAATTCTTTTTTTTTTCTTTAAAGATTTTATTTATTTATTCAGGAGAGAGAGAGAAAGGCAGAGACACAGAGGCAGAGGGAGAAGCAGGCTACATGCAGGGAGCCCGACGTGGGACTCGATCCCAGGACTCCGGGGTCACGCCCGGAGCCAAAGGCAGATGGATGCTCAACCGCTGAGGCACCCTCTATGTAAGGAATTCTTATAAAAGTGCCTCCACACTGAAAATACCATAAAATCCCCAACAAAACTGTGTCTTTCACAGCATATAGACTACTTTAAATGAAGGAAGATAAACTGATTGACCATGATATGAAAATGAGGGAAACTCGGTAACTAGAAGGGTTATAAAGGTAGGTTATAAAATATTCCCAAAATTTGGCCATAAAACATTATGCTACATATAAGCCTCAGGAAAGGAACAACACATAGTCATCACTTTTGTGAATGGAAAACTGGAAAGATAATCAGTGTAGAAGTCAAAAAAAGCAAAACTTCCTTCCTCACCTAAAGCAGAATAAATATTCTGTGATTAAAAAAAAAAATCTATCTAGAGACCATTTGCCCAACAGTAAGAAACAAGATAGATGATAATACTAAAACTGAAAACAAATTTAATTTTATTAAGAATGTAAAGAAAAAAGAGATATTACATATCAATTCATCCATGGATCATAACTACCAGAAGGAATTTATCAGTATTAAAATTGTACATACATTCTGTGGGTCAGTTTTCTGGATTTTGCCATGTATGCCATGTTTACTTTTTCATGTGTTACTTGTAAAGTCTACATTGTAAACCCAAAAGTAAGATATTTTGAGTCTTTTTTTTATTAAAAGGGAAGTTTGAAAATCTCGCACATCCCAAAATTTTAAACTGAAAAATAGAGAAAATTCTTATTCCTAGGAGAAATTAAATTAAAATAATAGAAAACGCTCTCCACACGTTATTCAGTGTGGCAATATAACCACCAACAATAAGGTAAGCTACTTACCATAAGGTTATTTCTAAGATGATTTTTGTGGGAGTGATTTCTTTCTCTTTGGGTAAGTAAAGAAAGATGTGTAGTTTGCACATAAAGAAATACTGAAAAGTCTATTTACTAACCTGGCCCAGTCCAGGCATACCTCCTCCAAGTCTAAGAAGTCTGTCCATATTTCTAGAAAACAGAAACAAAGGAAAACGTTCCTAAGCACAAAAGTGTTTACTCAATTGCTATCTATATAATTCACCTTCAGTCACTCAGTATGTCAAAAATATTGGTGGTAATTACAACACAACATCAGACTTCCTGTTAATTAACACCACATATTAATTCAAGAAGCTGTCTTCCATGCTAATTAACAGACCTTACTTTACTGCTTTGGTTTTGGGTTATCCCCGGTTTTAAAGACAAGCAATCTTAGCATACTTTCAAAACTTTGCTATCATTAAGTTAATTATATTTTCTCATTGTTATCTAATAAAGTACCTGAATGAGGAAAAAGTGCCTGAAATGCTTATCATATGTATGATTGAATTTCCTTCAATTTGTCCAGAGTGTACAAATAAAAATCCTCACTTTTAAATTAAATTTTAACATCCTCATTAGTAAGTTCTGTGCTAATTAACTTACAGCTTGTCAGTTATCATCAAAACTACATGTGAAAGACATTGTGAGCAGATTATGGATCTCTGAATTAGCATCAAAGGCTTTTTCAAAATGAACTCATTATACTAAAAGAAATATTATAAAGTAAACATTAAATGCATTAAGATAGTGTTCTAGAACCTACACAGATATTTAGCCTTATTTCAGATGTTGTAGACATATACACCTTTTTCAATAAGGAAATTCAGCTGCTGTTCTCAACGATAATTTTGGAGTTAACCAATAGAACATTAAAGTACCAATCTGATTTGTTTTTCATGTCTAGAATACTTATAGAAGACATTCTTATAAGCTTGAAAAATCAAAAGAAATCGAAGGAAAGAAATAGCAAGGATACCAATATGAACTCAACTACACAAAAAAGTGTAACCAAATTATAAAAAATTATTATCAATACAACTAAATACTTTAAAGTATTTTTACGTGACAATGAAGCATTTCTTCCACTAGAAAATTGTTACGGTGCCTTAAAATTTCTGTTCTAAGTGTATTCTCCAGAAATGGTATTACTACAATTTATATTCTAAATTAAATGCTAATGAATTAGTCGTTTGTTCACATGTTGTTTTACTAGTTAGAACTGCTATATACACTAAAATTTAATAACGTACTCATGATCATTACATTACAGCCTAATCATGTTTGTTGGATCTTGCTAACAAGTTACTCCTGTATTTAACAATGTTAATATTGCGAACTTTATCCAAGTCCACATACAGAAAAATGCACAAATGACACAGCCATGGAATCTTCACAAAGTGAACACACTCCCATAGCCACCACATAGATAAATAAACAACATTATCGGCACCTAAGCATACTTCTCAGGCCCCCTTTCCAGTCCCTATCACCATGGAAAGATAGAATTCCAACTTCTAATGGTATATATTAGTTCTGCTGCTTTTGAACTTTATATAAACAATTATAAACAACTTTATATCAACAAGTCTATGAGATTCACAACAGATAAATTCATTTTAAAAAATGAAAGGCACATAAGAAAACTTGAGTGTCCAAAGTTTCTGCTTTATAACCTTAACGCATTCCAATAGCAGCATTTACAAAATCTCCATCAAATTCTCATTAAAATTCCTCAACTCAAATACAGCATTTAACACATGGCACTTTTTAAAAGACTATCTACACGGGGGGGGGGGGGACTGAATAGTTTAAAATATTTAAGATAATGTGTATAAAATACATAAATACATTTCTCTAGAATGTATTACCAAAGGGAAAAAAAATTCCTTTGGACCATTCCAAGCTTAGAAACTTAAGGAACAAATGGCAAAAAACTAACAACATACAGTATACTTTAGACATTATATACATTCCAGGCCAAAGTCGATTCCCAGCTGTGTTCAGTTTATCTATTCCCCCAGTGTTGTTTCTGATGACTTTACACAGACTCCAGATGCTGTGAATATACATGAGCGATGTGGGGAGCAGAGGGAAAGAAAATCTGGCAGGTCAAATTTGTGTTTTTAGTAAAATTAGATGTCTCAGCAAACAGGAAAAAATATTTAACAAACTAAAACATTTTAGATAACATAAACATACCTAATAAAAATACTAACATTTGGAAATGATATATATCGATAAATGTTCTATATTATACTACTTTCTAAAAAGAGTTACAGAAAGAAAGAACAAAAATGCTAGCTAATCTAAATGACTTTCATTAGCTCTTAAATCTGGATACCTATCACATATTTATAATTTGATGTATGTTTAAAAATGATACATTTCCATAACATCTTTATATCACATCCTAAAATAATAGGTGAAAGTTATACACATTCCTCATTCTCACCTGGTCAGTAATTCCAACTCTTGAAGTGTTAAGCTTCAATTCGTTGAATTTGACAAATTTCTTCTTAACTCAAGCTATATTGGCAGGTATAACTTTTCCCAAGTATTTTTTCCTCTCTCTCCTAAAAAAAGTAAATAAAATAAAATATAATTATTTTGAAAACTATGGAGGAAAATATGCCAAGAGCTAGAAATGAAGCAAAATTCCTTAAAGCAAAATAGAAATCAAAATTGATTTTAATCGCCATTCCCAGAAGAATATGTGAAGGAACAGCATTCCAGGGAGCTATATAAAGCAAAGGATTAACCCCACGTACAAATTTTGTTTTGAAGTCTCTTTTTGATCAGTTTTAGCTATACATAAGAATTGATATATCATGACTTTTAGTCTTTCTAGAGGTATTTCAAAGAACAAAGAGAAAATTTACTCATATTTTTAAATAGGACATTGTATTGTGCAATTACCATATAGTCCCATTGAAGATTATTACAAATCCATGATATATTATGGAATCTTAGTGATGTTATTTTCCCATAATTGAAAGTTTGCTATTTCATTGCCGTAGGAACTAGTTCATTTCTTAGTCAATTATTCCCAACTATGCCAAAAAGACTGAAATAACAAGAAAAATGGAAGAATAAGAATTATCCATGCAATAATGAAATACGTTATTGCTATTGCTTCATCCTTCTATTGTGCTGCCCAAAGTATTTTACCATCTTTCAGAAAAATATGAAAGACAAGAGACATGATCTTTGGAGCTTTTTTTTCTTTTTAAGCTTTCATTTGAACACAGTTGAAAATTCAGAATTTTTCATGTTACATCCATAATGTCAAAGATAGGAAAAGTCACAGAGAAAAAAATTTTTACAATGATTAGAGAATCACAAGGTGAATATAAAGAAACAGGTAACAGCACTCTTGTCTCTAACGATAACAATAAAATTGATGGTATAAACCAGGGTTTCTTCAGCACTGTTGACATTCAGAACCAAATTTTTTGTGGTAGGGGTTGTCTTATGCATGACAGGGTGTTTAGCAGCATCCCTGGCCTTTACTCATTAGATGCTGGAAGCACCTACCCAGTCATGATAATCAAAAATGTCTCCAGACATTGCCAAATGTACCCTGGAAGGGCAAAATCACTCCCAGTTCAGAACCACCGATATAAACAAAATTTCAGACTATACATCCTCAGATAACAAAATTAACCCTACATGAATTTTCTAGAACTAAAGAACCACTGAGTGCTGAAAACAGTTTAGGAGCTCTTTATAAAGTTCAACAAAGAATTACCTTATGACGCAGCAACTTCACTAGGTATATATCGAAAAGAATTAAAAATAGGTATTCAAAACAAACACAGGTACGTTACGTTACGTTTACAGTATCATTATTCATAACAGCCCAGGGGATCCCTGGGTGGCGCAGTGGTTTGGCGCCTGCCTTTGGCCCAGGGCGCGATCCTGGAGACCCGGGATCGAATCCCACGTCGGGCTCCCGGTGCATGGAGCCTGCTTCTCCCTCTGCCTGTGTCTCTGCCTCTCTCTCTCTCTCTCTGTGACTATCATAAATAAAAAAATAAAAATTAAAAAAATAAAAAAAGAAATGAAAAACTTTAAAAAAAAAAAAAAAAAGGGGATCCCTGGGTGGCGCAGCGGTTTGGCGCCTGCCTTTGGCCCAGGGCGCGATCCTGGAGACCCGGGATCGAATCCCACATCGGGCTCCCGGTGCATGGAGCCTGCTTCTCCCTCTGCCTGTGTCTCTGCCTCTCTCTCTCTCTGACTATCATAAATAAATAAAAAAAATTAAAAAAAAAATAACAGCCCAAAGGTGGGAAAAGCCTAAATGTCCATCAAAAGGTGAAAGGATAAACAAATTCTAGTATGACTATATGTACAATGGACCGTATGGAATATCATTCAGCTATAATATGGAATGTAGCACTGACACATGTGATAATGTGGATGAACCTCAAAACATGCTACGTAAAGAAAGACATGCACAAAAGGTTGCAAACTGTATGATTCCATTTATATTAAATATCCCAAATATATGAATCTATAGGAAAAGAATGCAGATTAGTGACTGCCAGAGGTTGCAGGTAAGGAGTAAAATGGAGAAACTGCTTAATGGGTAAGGAATTTTACTACACAATAACGGAAATGTTTTGGAGCTAGACAAAGGTGGTAGTCACACAACACTGAATGTACTAAAAGACAATGAACTGTTCACTTCTTTTTTTTTTTTAAAGATGTATTTATTTGAGAGAAAGAGAGTCAGAGCACAGGCACACTTAATGAGAGGAAGGGCAGGAGAGGGGGGAAAGAATCTCAAGCCGACACAACACTAAGAGTAGAGTCTGACACAGTGCTTGATCTGATATCCTCTAAGATCACGACCTGACCCGAAACCAAGAATCAGATGCTTAACTAGCTGAGCCATCCAGGTACCCTGGAACTGTTCACTTTAAAATGGTTAATTTTATGTTAATTGAATTTCACCACAAAAAAATTTTAAGTGGATCAATGAGTGAACAATATATTTGAAAGACTAAAAAAAAAAAAAGGCTCTCATCTAATTAGGTATTCAACAAGAAGGACTTTACTACAAACTATTTTTATTTATTTGTTTGTTTGTTTGTTTGTTTATTTATAAAAACCATACTTTAAGATTTTATTTATTTATTCATGAGAGAGACACACACACAGAGAGCAGAGACAGACAGAAGCAGAGGGAGAAGCAGGCTCCATGCAGGGAGCCCAATGTGGGACTCGACCCCAGGACTTCAGGATCACACCCTGGGCTGAAGGCGAACGATGAACCACTGAGCCACCCAGGTGTCCCATTACAAGCTATTTTACAAGAACTTGTTTTGCTAAAGAGATGTGTGACATATTCTTTTATCTTTTATAATGCTAATGAAGTTCATATGTGGACAAATGCTAAAGTGTCCAAAAAGATGAGCAAAATGAAACAGGTAATGTAGAAGTGAAAAAAAAATCATTGGACTAACATAAATCTAAAAAAAAAATGTTTTGTAAGCAGAGATAATACCCATTGTCTCTTCCACAAAATTATGAACTATCTATGTTTTCAGAAGTATTACAATTGAGAAATGAAAAAGTTCTGGAGATGAATGGTGGTGATAGTTGCACAACTTGAATGTACTTAAAGCAACTGAACTGCACATCTAAAAATAGTTAAAATGGCAAGTTTTATGTTATGCATATTTCATATGGAGGTTAAGAGCCATGACTCCGCAGTACAAGTGGCAGGATTCAAATTCTGTCTCTAATACTTATTAGCTGTGTGTCCTTGGGTCAGTTACCTCTCTGAGCCTCAGCTTCCTCATCTGCAAAATGTAAATAATGATAGAATCCATCTTATACAGTTGTTTACAAGATTAAAGAAGACAGTGGACATAAACATTTAACATGATGCTGGGGGGACACCTGGGTGGCTCAGTGGTTGAGCGTCTGCCTTCAGCTCAGGGCATGATCCCGGGACAAGTCCTATATCGGGCTCCCTGCATGGAGCCTGCTTCTCCCTCTGCCTGTGTCTCTGCCTCTCTGTCTCTCTCATGAATAAATAAATAAAATCTTAAGAAAAAAAATAAGATGCTTGGTGTACAGTAAGTAAACAATGAATGCCAGGTGCTATCATCTGCACTACCCCCCTTAGGAGTCTACAATTCATACAACATAGATTCTTCTTCTGTCACTTAGTGAATTTCAAAACAATAGGTACTAAATGAATTACATTGGAGAGGAGGGACTTCCACTTTGCAGAATTTAGCAAAAGGGTTAATAAAATTAAAGTATTACACTATAATATAAAAGACAATACTTAGAAATAAAAGCCATACAAAACACCTACGGATCTAAACCAGGCTTTTAAACATATCGAAAAACAGAGGACCCAAGAGCTTATCATGATATGATTAACTTACTTTAAACATTATCAGATAATATGAATAAAGTGTTTAGCTGTAACTAATATGTCATACATAGAGTAATGTTTAGAATACTAACTGGTTAAAAAAAAACACAGTACGTACTTTCAAAAAGTTATATATCAAAAAATTGATTTTCCACTTGTTCATCTCCCTCAGTTGATATCTGATTAGAACCTGATACAATTAGATTCTGTTCATGTTGGAATTAAATCAATTCTCAAATATTTACAGGGAATGTACGGAACCACAAGTAACTTTAAAAAACAGACCCTTCAAAATTATCTTAATCTGGATTTGAAGTGTGGCAATTTTTTTTTTAATTTTTCAACCTTTTCACAAGGGACACTGTTGTCCCAATAATTCATAAAATTCAAACAAAATCATGAAACCCTTAGCTGTTTGAGTTTATCACTGTTTTTCTTAGTTCATTTTTTATTTGTACTCCCCAACCCATGTTGCAGTTACATATTACTTCTGAGACTGCTGCTAAACCCTCTCTTTACTCCAGATCTCACTATATCTCTAATTCCTCTACTTTCTGATTTGTGGAAAGTAATTAGGAACTTCTTTGACTTTCTTAAGGGCTTTCTTCAATGGAAGAAATAGAAAAAGTCAATATTAAACTTAATTATATAAGTAGGATTTTGAAAACAAGATTTTTCCAGTTTAGAACAGTGAAAATGGAACTACCACAAACATCTTTTCTTGTGCTGTCTCCTAATTACAGCATTCAGTTAAATATTCATTAAACACAAGTCTCTCCCCCTCTATCCCAAAGGAGAGTGTTCCTATTAAATCTTTCCTAAGTGGAAATGACATTAAGTCGAAGAAACAATTACCATTTTGTAAAGGCAAAGATCCTCTTCGGTTCTCTTTCTGTTAGCAAAAACGGGTATAATGTAGGTGTTCTGTAAAACTCAAGTGGGGTAAAGCCAACTTTCAGATAGTAGGGGAAACCTGTATTACCTTGTACATAAGGTGATACAGAAATAGAGCCACTAAGAAACTCAGTGACTTTCGCTGAATTTATAGTCTATTTGGGGAAGCAGGATATAAACCCATGAAAAATACATAAAGTTAAAGGAAGCAGTGTAGAGCCAGAAAGCCTGTGAAGGCAATCAGACCTCAATTTGAATATGAGCTTCAAAACCTACTCTCCAGGAATGCCTGGGTGGCTCAGTAGGTTAAGTGTCTGCTTTCTGCCCAGGCCATGATCCCAGGGTCCTGGGACTGAGTTCCACATCGGGCGCCCTGCTCAACGGAGAGCCTGCTTCTCCCTTTCCCTCAGCCAATACCACCCCCTTCATCCTCCTCTCTCTCTCTCAAATAAATAAAATCTTTAAAACCAAAAACCTATTCTCTGTATGATCTGGAAAACGTTACCTTCTTCTATAGATTTCTTCTATAAGATGGGGATAATACCTACCTTGCAAGTTGGTAGTAAGATGAAATACAATGTGCCTAATATAGTGCCTGGAACATTCATAAGGTACTCAAGAACTCTTGATACTGTTGTTATCATCACCTTAGAACCAGAAGCTATATTTAATCCAACTCTCATCTTACACATGGAGACTCCAAAATATCACAAAGCAGGATATGAATGTCAAATGAGTGCAAAAAACTGAGTGTACGACAAGTTCCTGAGTAATAAATCTCATGAATATTCAGGTAAGACTTTCAGAAGTGGATACTACATTATAAAATGAACACTGCTATACGATGGAAAACAAAAGCACAATTGCCTCTTGTTCCTGATATTCAAACATGGGTTCCAAACCTACATACTAAACACAAGTTTACACGACAAGCATAAAGATAAAATAAACCCATAACAGGTTAAAATGCAGCTTTACATTTAGAACCGCAAAAGATTATTTACCAAGCACCTTGGGGGGAAGAAAAATATCCCAAAGTCAACAGATGGGGTTTCTTTGAAAGGGGACTTCAAAACGTCCTTCTGTGGGCCAGAAATAATTTTGTCCCGGGACACGTTCAAAACACTATTCAGGCCTTTGACTAAATATCACTTCACTGAACACAACTGTATGTAGTTAATTCTGAGCTACTATATCTTAATCATCTCTCCAAATGCACAGTAACTCACTAAATTTATATTTGTTTAAAGCATATAAACTTTAAATGAGCCAGCTGCCAGCCTTACGTAACAAAACAAGAAAACCACCACCGTGTTAAACATCTCCACCAAAACTGTGTTCAGTTTTTTGTTATTTTGACATTATCAGTGACTGGCTTATGACTTTATTCCTAATAAACAACACAGCAGCACCAAAAACATATTTCTGTGACCAAAAAATAATAATAGTAGTCTTCACCCAAAACTGCATTTCTATGCTAATTTGTAAAGCTTCTTCCTTGCCTTCCCCATGAATCTTTATCGACTTTTTAGTTACCATTTTTAATTTCAAGACTTCTTCATTCCCCAACTAGATGTATATTAAAACTCTTCCGAAAAGTTTGCGCTTTTTCTTCTTTGACAGACACAAAGTAAGTCCCCGGGAAAACTAAGTTCCCAGAAGTAACAGAGTAGCAGATTAATACTTTATTGAAAACAGGAAATGTTATCTATTCACCAACAACTCCTCAATTAAAAAAAAAAACAACACACACACACAACTCCTCAATCCAGACAAACTGAAAGCTAAAAGGCAGGGCAGGGGGAAAAAACAGCAAAAAACAAAAACAAACACCATACTTTGTTTGGAAGAGTTTCAGGGTTAAAAACCGGTGCATCTCTGGGGTTTCTGTTTGGTTTTTAAAGGGAATTAAAATCCTAACACTACGAGAAAAAGGGTCAAGGCCCACGGGAAGGGCCAGGGACCGAGGCAGCAGGCCTTCAACGGCAGGTTCTCGTCGGCGCTGCCCTGCCTGCCGTCAGGTGCCCGGCGGACACAGCAAGAGGCCACACCCAGGTCCCCGCTGCAGGGACGGGGTCCCCAGGCCGAGTCTAGTCCCGCGGGGCGCACCCGGCTGACGGGAGGCCCGGGTCCCCCGCGGAGGGCGGCGGGAGGGCGGCGGGCCCGCGCCCCTCGGCGCCCCGGCCTCAGCGGCCGCTCGGCTGCGCAACGTGACTCAGGCGAGCGCGCGGCTGGCGGCGGCCTAGCGCGGCCGCCCGCGGACCGGCCCTCCCTGCCTTACCTGCGGCCGGCGGGCGCGGGAGGCCGCGGTCCGGGCTCTGGTCTCCCACCTGCGGCGACGCGAGGGCGGCGGCGGCGGCTCCCGCTCCACGGGGCTCTGGCTCCGCGAACCGGCGATGAATCAGCCCGATTCCATTCAAAACAGTCGCCCGGGCCTCCGGCGCGAAGCACTTCCGGGTTCACGGCTCGGGGCTCCGCTTCGGCTTCCGTTCCCCCGACGGCCAATTGGAGCGGGCTCGGGCGTCGGGCGGGCGCCCCGGAGCAGAGCGCGCAGGGACGGCGGCGCGGCCCGCGGCTCGGGCTCGGCCTCGGCCTCGGCTGCGCGCGCCGCACGGAAGCCCGCCTCGACCTCCGCCCCGACCTCCGCCCCTTTCTGCCCCCACCTTCCTCGCGCCCCCTCCGCGCGTCCGGGCCCGGAGGTGCCGGGCTGGGAGGCGGAGCTGCGGGGCGGCCGGCCCCGGAGCCCGGGTCGCTGGCGAGCTCGCTGCGGCGCCCCGGGCCATCTGCGAAGCCCGAGAGGAAAGTGCGTAAAAAGGCCGGGAGAGGTCCCAGGTCCTCTTCACCGCGCTCCTACCCACCGCCTTCGCTCTCCGGGGACTGGATTTCCAGGAAAACCCGACGTTTCCCAAATGTTAGCACCACCTATTTTAAGCCCAGTTCATTTACAGGGCTTAAAAAAAGCATTATTCACGTTTCTCCAAGTAATTAGCGTCAACAGCGTTAAACTCCTCATCTGCTCTGTGCTGGGTTTTCAGAGAACAAAACTGGAGGCCGAGAAATTCGAGGCCGTCCCACCTCGAGTTTAGCATTAGCCCGAGTACAGCCCCCGCAGGCCCCAGGAGTAAGAGCTGAACTTTCCAGGAAAAACCGCGGGACGCCCTTGACAGAGACAGAGAGTCCTGTGTTGGAAGGAAAACAGATCTTAAGAAACTCCCCCACCCTTTCCCCCATATTGGAATGAAAAAATTCCTCCACCCCTTCTGAAAATCCCCTAGACCAGCCCATAAAACCCAGCCGGAACCCACGTCGGGGTCCAAGTCCCTGCTCCGCCCTGTGGGGCACACTTGGACCCAAGCTGGAGCTTGTTAATAAACCCTCCGGGACTTGCTTGCATCGGTGTCGGCTCCTTGGTGGTTTCTCAGATTCGCAATCTTGGGCACAACAAAAACCACCCGAGAAATGACCGATTATCGACAAATCTATATCCCACTTAGGCACAGGCTCTGTTTAGGGCAACATGTTCACCTCTTGACTTTGTCAAGTATGTTCCAAATAATAAGCATCCTTAAGGCATTCCCAAGTCAATATGGGTGATGAATCCTCTGGATGGAGGGAGAGGACGGATTACAGCATCTGAATCCGAAGCCATTGGAGTGGACATAATTACACAGAACTTCCCTCTTAAAGATACTCCATTTCTATCTTAAAAAAACAAATACATCGATTATTTTAACCATAGGTAATAATACATTTGGATCAGCATCTTTATGTGTCTCCCCAAACTGTGCCTACTTGTTTGCTTTTTTTTTTTTTTTTTTTTTTTTTGGTGAACGACCCCATCCTTCAACTAGTTTGCTTCATCAGACATGAGAGTAAGCGTTTCCCTCCTGTCCCAGGTCCCACTGGCCAGTTAATCACCCTGTAAATCATGAAGTGTCTAACCTGTAAAAGAACTTTTCTAATCCACCACTCACCTTTCTCCATTCCCTCTACTCCAGACTTAACCCAAGCCTTCCTCATTTTTTCCCTAGAATGATGCAATAATCTTAATATCCGTGCTTCCAATTTGTCCCCCTTAAATCCATTCTCATTTATTAGCAAAGAATTTTTTCGATTACACAAATACAGTCATGTCCTTTCTTTGCTAAACATTTCACCAGTGACGCCCTCTAACAATCAATACAGAGGTCAAAAATCTCTTTATTTAGAACAGCCTTGCTTCCAGCAACATTAAAGGGTTTAGCTAGGGAATGAGATCTATAGGGACTTTGAAAAATTCAGACATTTCTAGGAATCTAAAAGGTAATATGCATGCTTAAGGACATGCGCATACGTAGGGCTGTGTGAATGCTCAGGAAAGCCCTGAGAAGGCCCCAAGCTCTCACCTCTGTCTGACCTTTAGGCTCTACACAAGCAAGAAGTGAAAACAAGAGCTTCAGCGGGGCAAACATGACTATGGCCGGCGATTTCTACCTGCACGACTACGTAGGGCACAAGGGCAAGTTTGGACACGAGTTTCTGGAGTTCGAGTTTCAGCCAGACGGAAAGCGTAGATATGCCAACAATAGCAATTACAAAAATGATGTCATGATCAGGAAGGAGGCTTATGTACACAAGAGCGTAATGGAGGAACTGAAGAGGATTATTGATGACAGTGAAATTACAAAAGAAGATGATGCCTTGTGGCCTCCCCCTGACAGAGTTGGCCGACAGGAGCTTGAGATTGTAATTGGAGATGAACACATTTCTTTTACCACCTCAAAAATAGGTTCTCTTATTGATGTAAATTAGTCAAAGGATCCTGAAGGCCTTCAAGTATTTTACTATTTGGTACAGGACCTGAAATGTTTAGTATTTAGTCTTACTGGATTACATTTCAAGATTAAACCAATCTAAATTGTATGTTTTTGAAGCTGTTTTATATTTTTTCTTATCTTTTTTTAAGTTATTTATTTATTTATTTATTTATTTATAGAGACACGGAGAGAGAGAGAGAGGCAGAGACACAGGCAGAGGGAGAAGCAGGCTCCATGCAGGGGGCCCAACATGGGACTCGATCCCAGGTCTCCAGGATCACACCCCAGGCTGCAGGCGGTGCTAAACCGCTGTGCCATGGGGGCTGCCCTGTTTTTATATTTAATTAAGGGATGGGTTTGTCATTTATACTATTGGGATTTTTATAAATGTGAAACTTCTTTTTGTATGCCAACTAAAAGTAAGAAAGTACGTAAATAGACTAATGGTTATTCTCACTTGGGTCCAAGTGGTTAGGCAGTCCTCACACATGAAATTCTGTAAATAAAAGCAACGTTTTGTTGAGAGTTTGCTCTAATGAAACATATCAAAACCTGAAGAAAAAAAAAAGAAGTGAAAACTAAAAGAGAGGCGTAAACTCACTGCCTGAGTGCTGAAGCCATGCCATACACATACTAAGCCCCTCAGCAAAGACTAGAAGAATCCTTGGTTGAAGACATTTAAGGAAATCTCTCCAGTCATCAGATAACTACTTAAACTAACTGAGCAAAGACTTCACTGGTCACACACATAACAAAGAATATAGACTTTAAGGAATGCATTCAAAAAGTCATTAAACCAGGACACCTGGGTGGCTCAGTGGGTTAAGCCCCTGCCTTTGACTTGGGTCATTATCTTAGGGTCCTGGGTTTGAGCCCTGCATTGGGCTTTCTGCTGGATGGGAAGTCTGCCTCTCTCTCTCCCCTTTAAAAATATGTCACTAAACCAGCATCTGGTATAACAAACAGAAACAACAAAAACCCTGAGGAGGGAGTAGAGTCTGATTTCCATAGTTGCTACCTTATATTATTTGAAATATCCAGTTTTCAAAATAAAAAAGGTTTTAAAAGTACAACACATGCAAACAAATAACAATGTAAGGTCCACCATACAGAGAGAAAAAGCAATTAATAGAAACTGTCTCTGAGGAAGCCCATATGTTGAACTTACTACATGAAGACTTTATATAAAATATTTTAAATATAGGGGCACCTGAGGGGCTCAGTGGTTGAGCATCAGCTTCAGCTCAGGTTGTGATCCCAGGGTCCTAGGAGCGAGTCCTGCATTGGGCTCCCCACACAGAGCCTGCTTCCCCCTCTGCCTATATCTCTGCCTCTCTCTGTGTGTCTCTCATGAATAAAGCCAAAGGAAATCATGTCTAAAGAACTAGAGGGAAATATGAGAAGAATATTTTGCCAGATAAAATCAATAAAGAGATAAAAATTATTTAAAAAACAAAAATTCTATAGAGTTGAAAAGTATAATAACAAATGAAAAATTGATTAGAGTGGCTCAATTGCATATTTGAGCAGATGGAAGAAAGAATCAGCAAATTTGAATACAGATTAGTTGAGATGATCAAGTTTGGAGAACATAGAAAAGAAAAATAAAGAAACACAAAGAGACACAGAAGTCTGTGGAACACAATCAGGCATACCAACATATGTATAATGGGAGTCTTAGAGGAGAAAGAGGAAAGGGCAGAAATATTTGGAGACGTAATGGTCAAAAGCTTCCCAAATTTGATAAAAACATTAATCCTCACATCCAAGAAGATTAATAAATTCCAAATTGAATAAATTCAAAGAAATTCATACCTGGACACATTATAATCAAACTGTTGAAAGTCAAAGGCAAGGAGAAAATCTTGAAAGTGTCAAGAGAAAAGCCACTCATCACATAATTATCAATAGAATTTACAACCTAGGCTATAGAAGCAGAAAACAGTGGCATGACATATTCAAAATACTGAAGAGGAAAAAAAAATCAACCAAGAATTATATATCCAGGAAAACTATCCTTCAAAAAATGAAGGAGAAATTAATATAGTTCCAAAATATATGTATAAACAAAAATAGAATTCATCACCAGGAAATGTGCCCTACAAGAGATACTAAAGGGAGTTCTTCAGGTTAAAATAAAATGTCGCTAGACATAACTGATAATTGACATGAAAAAACAGAGGACACTTGTACAGATAACTGCCTAAGTAAATACAAAAGACAGTCTAAATATATTTTTATTTGTAAATCATTTTTTCTATTTGACTTAAAAGACAACTGCATAAAGCAATAATAATTCTGCATTAGCAGATTTGTATAAAGATGTAATTTGTATCACAGTGACAACATAAAGGAAAGAGGAAGGAATGAAGTTAGAGTAGTGAAGTTTTTGTATACTATTAAAATTAAGTTGGTATTAATCTGAACTGTAGTGTTATAACTTGGTAATTGTAATCCCCACAGCAACTACTAGGAAAATAATCAAAAGATATATAATTTAAAAAATGACAACGGAATTAAAATGGTACACTAGAAAATATGTATTTTTACAGAAAAGGCAGCAGTTATGAAGGAACAGAACAGCAAACAACATATGACATGAAAAGAAATAACAAAATGTCAAGTGTAAATATTACCTTATCAGTAATTACATTACTTATAAATGAATGAAATTTTCTGATTAAAAGACAACTATCTCAGAATGGGTTAGAAAAAAAGATACAACTGTCTACAGTCCATAAGAGACACACTTTAGATTCAAAGACATAAGAAATATTGAAACTA